GTGGCGTTGCTGAGTAAAGGGTTGACTACACAGCTGCACAGCTACAGGTGGCGTTGCTGAGTAAAGGGCTGACTACACAGCTACACAGCTACAGGTGGTGTTGCTGAGTAAAGGGCTGACTACACAGCTACACAGCTACAGGTGGCGTTGCTGAGTAAAGGGCTGACTACACAGCTACACAGCTACAGGTGGCGTTGCTGAGTGTCTGCTCGTTGTTTCGTTGACAGGTCAGCTGCCACGTCACGCGTGGCTACAGTTCCGCAGCAGCCGCGCGAAACACCACCAACTCCTCCACCAGGCGTCGCTGCTCTCGGCGCGTGCCGACAGATTCTACAACCATCACCAGGGGTCGCTACTGCGCACGAGCATCGAGCGTTATGGCGGCATCGTCGCAGCAAACGCTGCGCTGGCGCCGGACCTGGTGACGGCGCAGCACTTCCTTCAGCTGTTCAGCGCCTACATGACCAGCCTGCACCAGCTGGAGGAACCGTTGACCCTCGACCTGAACGCGAGTCACCTTGAGGTGGATCAGGCGCGCAACACTCGCGAATATTCCAGCCTGTTGCTCATCATCGCAGTGCTGCTCCTCTGGAGCATCATCATCATTATGACGCGGCAGCTGCTGGAGATGACGGGACTGTTCAGACTCGGACAGAGGCTCGTGAGGGTGGCCAGCTCGTTGTTCGACCTCTCAACACTAGGGGGCACCGAGGAGAAGGCGTTCTCTACCGAGCCAAATCAGGACGTGAGAGGAGGCGGCGCGAGAGTCAACGCTGGGTTCGAAGATTCCAGAATGAGATTCTAACGGCGAGAGCTTTGCAGTCTGTTTTTAAGAATTATTTTGTTTAGAAGGTGGGGAAATCATCACTATTCATTTGGGTGAGATAACCACACTCTTAATATATTCAACCCTTGCCGATTGTTAGACCTGTCCAGTTAGACTAGCGTATACATGGCGTTCACGAATGCATGCAAAAATCCGGGGCCAAAATGTCGACTTGGTGACACTTCCTCACCAAGCAGCGTTTTTTGAATTCCGCTATCACAACGCTGATTGGCTATCCATTTGAGGTACCTGTGAGTCACTCCAGACTGATGAGTGCACTGGGAAGGAGGTTGGGAATACTAGCTGGTATGAGAGCTGATGGAAAAATTATTGTGTAAAATTTTAATAAAATATTCTGTGCGTAGGTGAAGTAAATCAGAAATCTGGGAGTTTCATACTATACTAGTACTACCGTAGTACTCCTACCCACTGAATTAATGCCGACAGAGAGAGCGAGAGAAAGAGAGGAGTGGGGGTTCGCCATATACACGATGGTACACTGACCACGTGCTTCTTAACTAGAAACGTAAAAACAAGTATACTAGATACTGTGTATATTAGTTACATTGAATTACTTATTACATCTTATTAGTCTGGTAACATATATAGATATAAAATAAATCAAATATATATATATACATTTATTTTCAGTTGTGATGTTATGAAATCTAATTTCTACACAACCTTACAGGAACCATTTAAAACTAAATTGGCACAAATATTTACAGAAGCTATTACCGACATATAGTCAAGGTTCCATCTTGGAGCAAATAATATGATGTTGTCAAGATGAGACATTGTGGCATGGTATAGTGTGGAGTGGGGCCAAGGGTTATTGCAGCCTATAAGGTCGAACGCTGTCACAACACTGCTATGACCCACGTTATGACATCACCCTCACCACACTCTGCAGAGTTACAAAGTGATCTCCGCTGTATATATATATATATATATACAGGTATAGATAAATATCTATCATCTCTAGCTGTCAATCAACCCTTGTGAATCATACGACAAAGCTCAATTTGTTTACGGTCACGATTCCATTTACAAGAGCGCAGCACATGTGAGCAAAAATACCATCGCAACCTAGCCGGAGGCAAAGATCCAACTGATATACACGGCATCCTTCTGTTAAGACCAATCGCCGCGGAACGTCATCTATCTACAGGCGCAGTAGTAGACAGGTGTGCAGCTCAGCAGCGTAGGGCTACAGTAGCAGAGTGGTAGCACAACATGTAGCCCTACGTCTGGAGACTCAGAGCTACACATTTGTCTTTATAGGCGGTCGCGTGGCAGGTGTCTATATTCGTCTAGACTGCCTCCACGTCTCTGCCAACGCAAATAAACACGTGACAAATCATGTTGATGCGCTCCTTACAAATGACTCTTCACATTTTTTCTGATCCGTCATGCAGAACTACTGCCGCCGGGAGGGATGGGGGGGGGGGGGGTTGTGCTCACGCAATATACAATTATAGAGGTGCATATAGCTAGTGCACAACTCAAGAGAAAGAGAATACATACCTTTTACCAATGGTAAAAGGGTAACATGATTGACTGCACATAGAATAGTAATGTCATAGTCTATCCATCCAATTTACAAATATAAAGTGACGTTTCACCGGTAATGAATGAAAAAAATTCACATTCACTGCATGCTTGATCAAGTTTACAAGACTTGCTCGTAATATAAGCAGTAACTCCCAGCCATAGATCCTTCACTACCAGTCGTTAACAACAGATGGCAGCACAGTTTCTGTTCCTCCTTGTATCCGGTCGGCGACGCTAGATTGATGACGTCCGACAACTCTCTCACGTACAAAGTAGCTTGCTGCCTGGCTTAACCGAATAAGGTCTCTGCAAGATTATCAAACAAATAAACAATATATAAATTGATATTAATATAAGTTATAAGCATTGTCACACAGTTTGTGGAGGGCTGGCAACAGATACACGAAACCCAGAACGAATGAAATTCTGCATGAATTTAGGTTACATAGTTCTCACTATACACGACGTGAGGAACTCATGAGCATGTGACGAGGGTCAACTCACCAGGAACTGCGAGAATGGGCCGACCTGCTCACCGAACCTTCGCATGGCTTCTCGTATCTCGCCCGGAAGGATCGCCGAGTTTGCTTGGCATTCCAGAGCCGGGTGACTCCCGCTCTGTAATGCAGCAGTGATGTATATATACGTTAGGAAATCAACAGTGAACCCTAACCCTAACCCTAACCCTATCCACCCGACATCACTTAAAGACAACTGTAGCTAATCAATGCTGTGAGAGCACACTTTAAAAAACAATTCCAGTTTTTTGTTTGTCCGTTTATAGTAAAAACAAATCGGCTTAGTGCTCCAAGATGCAAGATCACTCCAAGAAAATCTACTGCCAGTGCTATCTGGGTTATTGCCGATTTACAGTTTCAAATCTTCGTGAAAGCTATACTACCACGCTAGAACCTGGACTCACTACTAACCCCTTTTCGTTTCTTGTTTCTTGACTTTGCTGTGAAACCAGGCGAACCAGTGCTCGTTAGACCTGGCGACAGCATAGCCGGGGATGTCGGACTAGATGGTGGACTCTGCTAGGAAGAACAAACAGACATCGTAATTTGTTACACCATCACAGTAAAGGCGGTGCATGCTCCTGTTAAAGGCAGTGTATACTGCTTCTATTAAAGACAGTGCACACTTATTCACGTGATAAACACGACAAAGCACATATCCTGAGAATCATAGCGCACCTGCACACCCTAATATATCGAGTAAACATAGTTCTGTTTTCTTGTGCAGGGTGAGCAGGCAGCTGTGAAATTATTCATGTGCTTGCACAAACGCGCGCACACGCGCACACACACACACACATGCACACACATGTACATGCCCACACACGCAATAGCCCAAACACCTACACACACTACATTCCATACCTGATTACCACCAGGCGATGGTGGCCATGATCCTGAGGTGGGACTGACCAGTGGTGCCCCCTGTTGCAGGGAGAAGGCATCATGTGAAGGTCCACTGACGGGACAATTGCGAGACACCGGGTCAGAAAACTGAGCTGCCAAATCTCTCTTCACTATCAGCGATAGATCGACTATCTATATGTGAGAGACGGAAACAATTAACTGCAGTAATGCACAATGACAGCAGAAAGCTTAAGATGACCCAATCCCTCTCAACTCAAACCTGAATTAGGTCCCCGGTACATACATCACTATAATTATCACCATCAACAGGATAATCATCAGTATTACCACTCGTCATCATCATCATCATCATCATCATCATCATCATCATCATCATTGTCACAATCATCCCATCCATAATAACAACTTTTAATTCTAACCCCAAGTCCTAACTATTATCCCCAATTCTAACCTAACCCTCTCTCGAACCTTAATCCAAACCTTAATTCTAACCTAACCCCAACCTAAACATAAACCCTTTTAATTAATACCCAGGGTCCTAAAATAAGACTGAACCTATCTCTGTGAAAAACCCAAGTGCTTGCTTGCAAAGTCTAGGTATGAGTATACCTCAGCAACAGTTTCGTATGCCAGGTAGCCAATGATGTCGAGTGCGAGGGCATTAGGTGTCACTTCTAAGGAATCTCCAATGCTTTGCATCAACCAGTCTCTGAACTTGTTTATCCTGTACTTTCTACCTGCTATATAAAGAAAACAACTTGTGTCATACCGGGAACTAATTACAAATATAATACAATTACATATTACATAAATATAATTTACCATATAATCACAATGAACAGGTAAGTGTTTTAAATTGAATTATTACAGTCTGATTTTATACCCAAGATAAATCTCAACTGCCAACAAATGTAGTAAATACAAGTTCGTTGCAGATTAACTACAATTACGAATACAGTTGACAGGGCTGTATTTTCACATTAATTTTACAGACGTTTGTTGATCTAGACTGCAGAGGGCAGCACTTACTGAAGCCTGCCTGTCTCGCTAGACAGAACTGTAAATACTGTGCGCTGTCCATGTAGCGTGACATGTGATCCATCCTCTGAAACCCAACGCAGAAACAAGTATGTACATGATGTCCTTTACATGCAAACGGTAAAAAATCTACATATCTGTCACTTTAGTGAGGCCCACACGTCCTTTATAGACATGTATCAGCACTATGTAGGTGGTTTCACAGTACAAATGGCACTTATAGGGCATCAATGGAAATGCCAAAAATGCCTCTTTATAGACAGATGACTGTTCTATTGCGGTAGTCGCTAACGCAGGTTTGACTGTAATCACTTATCACAGATATCATATCTCATGTGCGAATCCTATTAGTAATTACTAGTAATACTACTAATAGTGTCTATGTGATTAGCAGGGATAAGATTTAAATTTTCTACATTACTACATTCTTACATTATTTGTTTATGATAGGAACAAATATGATAAGAATATGATAGGAATCCTTTAGGTAACAAATAGGAGTGTTGAATATTGATATCGTCACTTATGTTATACAACCAGCTAATACACATAGTGAAGCCTGAAATAGCCTCACTCTAAACTGGTAAGTACTACAAATGTGCATCTGATGATACTTACAATATTTCTTGACTGTTTCACAGCATCAAACTCATCCTCTACGAATAGCTCCAACAATTCACCTATGACAAAAACAAAGCACATTTCAAATTCAATTGATCTTAACCATTTCCCACAACCGAGTGCTAACAAGGAGACAGAAAAAACATCAATAATACTGCCACCATTTTTTAGGGAAACCATGAGTTATGTGGATCAAATAAAATCATGTGTTGTACAATGTTTTCTTGTATATTATATTTTCTAATGAACGTAATACTGACCTGTATTGTCAATGCTGGATAAAAACTCATAGCAAATCTGCCTTTTGTTTTTTTTCACTCCTGCAGCGATTGACTTGACATCGGATTTCAAATCTGAAACGTGTGGAAAAAATTAGAATAGTAAACACATGCACTTACTGATGTTAATATATGTGTGGGCTTGCCGATGATGCTGTGATACTCTCGAACATAGGATTACTAGTTGGCTTACTATTACCAGATGTATTCTCTCTTCCCACTTCTCTCTCTGTGTATCTATATCTCTCGCACACACACGCGCGCGCGCACGCACGCACACACACACACGCGCGCGCGCACGCACGCACACACACACACATACACACACACTCCCCCTTCCCTCCTCCCCTCTCTCTCCCTCCTCTCTCATCTCTCTCTCTCTTTCTCCTCCATCTCATGACCTTACACATCTCTTTACACTCTTTCAGAATATTACCATCTTCTCCTTCCAAACTGGTTCCTTTTAGAGCTGCTGACTTTAAGTCTTTGACTGCTAGGTGCTGAATAAGACGCTGAAGCTTAACCTGAGAGAAAGTTTAAACTGTATGAAAAGAGCAAATACACAGGAACATACTTAATTATATATCTTCTTCTTCCTGTATTGAGAATAGTCCCTTTGGGGATTACTTGCCCATTATAATTTGAATTCAGTAACTACAACTGACAGCTTAAAATTTCATCTTAAGATGGTACTGCCTAGAATCAAAGCCTTATATACCTTGTTTTTTCGTAGAAGGAATATGATATCTTCGATACCAATTGATTTGCTCCCTCTCAGCATGGCAACATCACATGCTTTGAGCAGCTGAAATATTGCTATTGAATTATTACAAGAGCCCTGTAAAATTACTCGTATAAAATACAGTCATTATAAAATTATATGGTGTTGTCATTCAATAAAATGCTTCTGGGACAACAACTAATTATTACATTTAATTTTTTAATCGAATAGGTATGCATTTGAGAACCAATCAAAAACAACTTAAAAATATTTTTTAATAACATATCAAGTGAAAATAGTTCAAGAAAAGGCATCTGACAAAAAATACAGACCATAAAAATGTTTATGAGATACAAGACATATTTGCTGTTAAGTTAAATATAATATCAATATACGTTTAACTCAATATATTTTGAAGGTTTTCGCCTCTATACTCCAACTTTTCATTTGCAACTTTTCCAAGATCAACCAGAAAAAGATATATCTTTTCGTTTAGGTTGAGTCAAACATACAAGAGCAATCATCTGTCGATGAACAATGTCTTCGATCACACTCGCTGATTCGGGGACAGGTTTCTGACAGTCTCCAAGGCTGTACCTTAAATATTAACAACACGTTTTAGAACAAAAATATTACTGTCCTTACAACATGGAGCCTCTGCCAACACAGTAACATGTACCTAATTAATTTTGTTATTCAAATCTGATAAAAAATATCACATTCTACATGGTGGTTACTTCTATATACGAAATTATTTCTGACACGGCATACTCTTAAATTTACGGCCATGCACAGTCACCTCTATCTGTGTAGCCCTGTGTCAGAGCGAAAGAATCAAGTATATATACAGGTGACTCCCTACTAAGTTGACTTGTTTTCTTAAGGATATTCTCAACGTTTTAGAAAACATTTTACCGATTTTCTTTTTCAACTTTATTCGATGGCTAACACTATGTGCCACCTGTGTGCACGCTCATTTCTTCATATAACGGTACATGTGAGCTGTCAGTCTGCCAGAGCGTTTTTAATGCCCGTGTACATATATAGTGAGCCGTGGCTGACGTCATGTCGTCAGAGACATCATACAATCAGCATTTTCACGATATAATTCACTCAGCCAGTATCCATCAACATCAACCCTGCTACAGCTGTGTAGTGACGTAGATATCAAATTATTTAACCTAGTATAAAACCCAACGACACGGGTCATTAAACGTAAGCAGATCACGTCATAGGTTATTTTAGTAACAGCCAAGGCAACAAGCGAAGGACACCAGGTCCTGCTCTCACCAGCCGCACACGCCGCACGCGTGTCGCGCGCGTGACCCAACAAAAGAAGAGAAAATATGCGACGGCAGAGAGAGAAAGTAATCACCTACACAAGGCGACACCATGAGATTTTAGTACCTAGTATAGAAGGACATCACACCTTGATGTCGCATGCCGACTGATGAAGATCAAACAACGATGCCGCCAACAAATGTGAACTATGGGAAATATGAAGAACAATGAATGCGAACGCTGCGGCGGTTCCGACACCAGACTCAAGAGCGTACCACAGCTTCTTATCTCCTTCAGTTATCGCATAAATTCTGGAGAAGGACAGGATTGCACCATCGCGCACGCAACAAGGCCTTGACCGACGCTCAGGCCAATGCATGTCCTCCAGTTTGTATAAATATGCCGAAGCAGTTTTTCGGAGCAAGAGACAGACACGGTCGCAACGGTGCCTGACAGCTCCGCGATGCTGTCAGCACACAGGTTCCGCTGATCTCAGCAGTGCTGGGGATCACCACGGCACCCGTCAGCGCATTGGACACCGCCAGGAACCTGCGCCCCTGCGATCTGCAGAAGCTCCCACGCTCGTAAAATATGTACTGCATTTGTAAACGGCAGCTCGCTGCTTGTCTGTATGTGCCTGGTGTATAACGATATGTAGCAGGGGCGTGTATGTGTTTTATTATTGTGATGCGCTGTTTTATTGAAAGAATAGAGTTACCAGTAGTAGATTACGTGGTTAGGGAGCATTAATTAATACTGATTTGTGCTTAAGTGCATATTGCACACTGTATGCTGTTGTACACGAACGCTGGGACCGCAATATTGCGATGCAGACGTGCCTATCACAAGGTGCCCCGGGCGTTACCGCGAGGGCAGGCCGGCAGCGACGGAGGGCTTGCGACGGAGCTTCTCTAATCAGCTGTAGCTACCTAACCGCTGATCGGCAACAAGTATCCGCAACAAGAGCTCCAAAATAGTATCTAACGACAGCAGGTGCGCAACAACACCTTACATGAAAGCCCGCGTTTGTTGACAGTGACCGTCAGGCAGATGGGCGGTGGTTGGTCGCCCATTTTTGCATGAAATTGGCGTTGGTCAACCGCGTCGTAATGTTCTGCAGTGCATGAACATTTTAACCAATGTTAGGTGGTGTCAGTTTAGTCACTGCGATATTGTCGCAGTAAGGTACATAACAGTGAGATTGTTGATGCCGATATTTCACATACCTTTGGCACGGCGCATTTTTCACACAGGGCGGGTCGATCATGTGTGAAAAATAGAAAAATAGCGCTGATTCTCCAGTTCTCAATTTCTGACTTAGTAGTCGTGTATACATGGATATGTTCTGCTGTGGATTGGACAAACTTGGAGATAATTTCATTTTACACTCGTTTAATGGTACATATTGCTGTAAAAAAGGAGCGTCAGGGGATGTGTTATTAAGTGCCGTATTTTATGAGTGTATCTCTCTGCTCTTTATTTCGCTAAAATTATAGAAGTTCGAACGCATGCGAGCTAGAATTTTAGGCAGTTTTTCGCATTTTTTCGTCAGTAAAGGTAGGTGAAACTTAAAGAGAAAATCCGCTGATGCGGCTATTTTGGTACCAGTATTGTGGCTGAACATGGTGGCGAAATTTTGTATGCCTCACTCTTTCTGGTAATGGAGAAATATCCAAAATACCATGTTTGTACGATAAAACTTTAAATTTGTGTGGTAAGCGATATTAGGCTGCTTGGAAATTTATGAAATTTTTTGGCTTGAGCGCCATCAGCGAGATATATCTCCCTCCTAATAAATAAAAGCGAACGTGGATTGATTCGATTCATCTCAGCAATAATCGCTCTTAATCTTGCATTTATTTAGCAGCAATTACCCGGCCAAGGTTGGAGAGTATCCTTAATCCACTTCTGCGATGGCAGAGGCCATAGAGTAATGCAGAGAGAGAGTGAAAGCAATAGTGAAGATCTAGTTATGTACAATCTTTACACTTACATGCATAGCTTGAATGCTCAGTAGTAGAACCAGGTTGTAGGTGAGATTCTGTGTAATAGCAGTTCCAACCACTGGAGAAGGCTTTGCACTGTTTGATGGTGGACCTGTTTGGATCGCATCGAAGTGCGAGATGGTCCATCATTCTGCAAATTATATGTCAAATTACGGTTGCGATTATGTCAATTCTAATCTCTTAGGATGAATAGACCACAGGAAACATTGGGCGCATTCGGCATATGAATTGAGAAGATCAATGGCACAACACGGCAATTTTTGTTATCTATTTAAAAGGAGTTTATAGATACGCCAGCAAACTCGCTCTTCTTACTTCGCTCCCGATTGCTAGGGTCACTGTTAACCATGGACTTGTACCCTCGTCGTACATTTCGTATCTTTTTTGAGCAACGAGATGAGGCCTAGATGTCCGTCTATACACTCATAACTCGGAACGGAAAAACAGCTGCATCATGTTTTCGCACCACAGATTATGACTAGTCGCCGTCCTTCTGCAACAACTCGATATAGGGCGTAGTAATCGTACTTGTAAGAAGGGACGGGTACGCAAGTCCGTACAGCCACACGCACACACGAAGATTAATTACTCTCGTTAATCGTTTGTTCTGGCGGCGCAATTTAACTTAATTTGATTAATTTTTATTAATCAAAAGCCGATGATGTCCAGCGTGATCTCTGGTGGTGAGGATTGTGTTGGCAACCGTTGGCGTAGCATCTAGGTGAGCGTTACGGCAATCTGCAGATTAAACCGGGTATCCATAGCAGATCAGGAGCGTATAATGACAAATATACGCGCCACAGGCACTTGAAGCGTATCAACTGTAAACACACGCCACCGCCATTGCGCGTACACTTACACATAAATATAGAGTAAATTATATACTAGTAGAGCTAAATAGTATTAGTACACTATATATTGTATGTGTAAGTGTAGCGCAATCGGCGGTGCGTGTGTTTTACAGTTGATACGCTTCAGTGCCTGTGATAAGCCTGTATTATACCCGCGTACGCCTCGCTTATTCATTAATGTGATATTAATATAAGTTTTAGTCATTAGATTTGTCATTATACGCTCACTGATAAGCAAGGGGGGAGTCGTGTGGTAAAACTCATTCGGTAGACGCACCGCACAGCAGTAGGATCCACTGCAAAGGTCCGGTGCAGACAGCGTGTGCATCAGTGGGGCTGATCACAGAAATCTGTGCATCACATTCGTGAATATAGATAATAAGTTGCCTAAAGTGGATTTGCACCCGAGAAGAGACACGTCAACACAAGAGTCTCACATGGCAAGTTTAGCTGGAAAAGTTAGGCCGCTCATCACAGTGTAACATGAACAAACAAAATGCGGACATCATACGAGCTACGAGAGCTAAGTACGACTACGGTTCTAATAATGCATACAAGGTAACAGTGTGGAAGTTCAAGCTTTGCCTAAGCTCCAGATGAAACGGTATTGCTAGGTTACAATACCCGTAGTCCGAGCGGCGACGCAGACCCCAGTATGGGGCAAAAACCCGCACGCCCTCATGATTAGCAAAGCGGAGTTTACGTCTGCATTGGCGGACGTACAATACCGGCGTTAGCAATACGGATTGTATGAGACAATCCGTCGCACAGCCTAGTTGGGCATATAAGCTTTGTCTTAGCTCTAGCTCTAGTACTATAGGCGCCGTTCGCATCCGTCGGCAGGGGCAATGAGGCGCGTCATTCGTGCCCCCCACGCCAGATTACTCTCTAGCTCAGCCTTCATAAACCGCAGCATTTGTAATATTTGGTTTCAAAACGGGGTTTGGTGAATATACTAGGACATCGATCGAGCCTATTATGAAGGGGTTTTCACACTGTGTTATACGGTGCAAGTTCTGGAATCGGCGCTGCACACCTGGCTATCATTATTTGCCAACACGGGAGTGAGGTGTCACTGGAAGAGGTCGCAAAACTTGACAATCTCAGATAAAAGCAAAGAACGAGTTGCTTGCAGTCAACAATCAAGGACCAGGTAAATAAAGCAATGTAGTAAATGTCATGTAGTATATTGTAGGTGCCC